CAAACACTCAGACTGTGCTTTGACTGGTGCCAACATATGCCCGTTCGAAACAAGAAATCCGGACATCTACCAGTCATCGAGAATCTCCTCAGTCAATGGGCCAGCGCGACATCCTGACAGCGCGAGCTGCACTTTCTTGTCAGGATCGAGGCGACCAGACAACCGAAAAAAGTCCATCACAGGTCAAAGTTGGAACAAATGCATGCATTAAACAGAAACCTACCTCAGGTCTCCAAGTTCACCTGTAGTCCGCAACTTTAGACCCTCTTCTTTGATCTCTCAAGAACTCGGTTCTGAAGGTGGGTGGTCAAATGAAGTCAAAGCGCGACACGTCCTTGACATGAGCCCATCTTGATACCGAGATGTTACGCGGATTGAGCAGCTCAAAGTCAAGCTGTTTGGTAAAGACATATTGCAGGAGCAGGATGCTGCATGAGCGAATGTGATAGCTAGTCCGATGCACCTGACTCAGACGTTTCGTCCCTTGTCTTGGCAGCAAGTCTGTTGGCGGAGACTGAGAAAACATTGCTATGGGCACTCGATTCATCCGATCATCCATCCGCGAAGTTTCGGTTGTCAGTTGGCGGTGTCGCGCAATGATAGACCGAGGGTTGAACACGCGTTGACCTGCCGGCACAAACAGGGAACATCTGAACCCTGGAAGTGTGCTCTCCGGAGAACGTGCTAATCTTGTTCGCGTAAGGCCGGCGAAGCAACAACGTGAACGACCACTCAGAAACCCCGAGACTTGCTAGGACCATAAGCCTGGTCAATTCATGACATGAAAAGCAACGTTGGAGCTCAGACGTTGCATCCCGCTCGTCATCACAACAAGCTCGACCCCGCAAGCCCCCGCAAAGCACCCAGGCACTACCGAAATTGGGCCCGACCGAACTCGACCGAGGAATTCAATCCGCCAAACCCCGGAAAGGGATCAAGGCCGCACCACGCCCTTCGTATTAATTCACGACGGGACTAGGGCTGCGAGGTTTTGCGAAGCGACAAGCGATTGTACATGCCGATGACGATGAGTACCACCGTCAGAATCAGCCCCACGGTCCGATTGAAGAGCCACAGAGGTATAAAGAGCTCCGCAGAGAATACCAAGATGTATCAAGCGTTCCTTGGCCATCATCATGAAGCCTCAAGCACTTCTTGCGTATGGCGCTGTGGCTCTCGCCCAGCAAGTCTACGTCCCTGCTGAAGGGCCTGTCTCGCGACCGCAATGCTCGGCAAATCAAACATATGCGACTGCACTGCCCTCGTATACCTTCAGAGAGTTCAGCTTCACACAGACCGAGACTGTTCGTACAGCAACATCTGCCCCAGCTCCCACTACCACTACTACCTATGCACCACCGTACGCGTCGCTCAGTAGCTTGGTGCCAAATCTGACGACAACACAATGGGGCAACTGGAACTCAAATGTCACCGCATCACCGACCGACTTGGGGAATCCATACGGAAACGCATCCTGGACAGCTCTCTGGACGACCGTGCCATGGGTCAACTTCACGACCGGGATGTACTCTACAACAGTTGAACCGACGCCAGTACCGACCAGCGAGCTCATTCTGCCACCACCTGAGCCACTGGTACCCCAGCAATGCTACTCCTTCCCTGCAGACTTCATGCTTGGCGTGGCGGCATCAGCTGTCCAAATCGAGGGAGCCGTCGCAGATGAGGGACGGACACCCGTTCACAACGACGTTGCTGCCTTGAACAACCCGGGCCAAGCGCCGAACTGGATCGCGAACGAACACTACTACTTGTACAAGCAAGACATCGAACGAATTGCTGCCATGGGCATCAAGTATTACAGATTCTCCATTCCTTGGACTCGGATTCTGCCGTTCATTTTACCAGGCACACCAGTCAACAAGCAAGGTCTCTCGCACTACGACGATCTCATCAACTTCGTCTTGGAAAAAGGCATGCATCCTGCTGTCATGCTTTACCACAACGACTCTCCTTTCCAATATTACAACAACATCAGCGATGTCTTTATCAAGCCCGGAACTGGAGGCATTGGCTATCTGGACTCTTGTTTCCAATGTAGCTACAATAATGTGTCGTGGGAGGATGCTTTCGTCGAATACGGAAAGATTGTCATGACACATTTTGCTGACCGTGTGCCAATCTGGTGGACCTTCAACGAGCCTCTCCTGGGTGCGCGGAACGGAAGATCTATCGATGCTGTCATCAAAGCTCATGCGAGACTCTACCACTTCTACCACGATGACATTGGTGGAACTGGAAAGATGTCGCTCACATTCAACGACAACTTTGGCGTCCCACGCAATCCAGATGACCCCGCTGACGTCGACGCTGCCAATCACTTCAACTCCTTCCAGCTAGCTACCTTTGCCAACCCTATCTTCCTCGGAACAGACTACCCGGAATCATTCAAGAGTAGTGTTGACGACTACGTACCATTGAGCCAAGAAGATCTACAATACATCAACGGTACTGCGGACTTCTTCTCGATCCAACCGTACACTGCGACCGTAGTCAGTCCACCGCCGAATGACACCATCGCGGACTGCGCTGCCAACATCACTCATCCCCTCCGACCTTACTGTGTAACTCAGAGCACTCTCACCACCACTGGCTGGGACATCGGGTACCGCAGTCAATCATATGTCTATCTGACACCCAGCTATTTCCGCACATACCTAAACTATCTTTGGAACACATGGCGTTCTCCAGTGGCCGTCACTGAATTCGGCTTTCCTGTCTTCGCCGAGGCGCAAAAAGAGCAAGCAGACCAGGAGTTTGACAGCCCAAGGAGCTGGTACTACCAGACGTATCTGAACGAAGGCCTGAAGGCGATCTGGGAAGACGGTGTCAACTTCATTGGCGCGTTTGCTTGGTCGTGGGCCGACAACTGGGAGTTTGGTGACTACGACCAGCAGTTTGGTATCCAGACTGTGAACCGCACGACACAAGTGCGAAGGTACAAGAAGAGTTTCTTCGACTACGTGGACTTTATCGAGAGTAGGAGACAGGCGGCGTAGGTACTGTAACATATCCGAGCCCGTTTGTATATACCAAAGTCGTATCAATAGTGCGTAGATCCAAAGCTACCCGGCAATGTATGCCCACAGTCTCTAAAGACGACTCACGAATCCACTTCGATCCATCTTGACCAAGTACTCTGGTCCAATGTCCTCAACCTTTGTCACACCCGCAAGTCCCATGCACAACTTGAATTCATCACTCAATAACTTCAGCGCCAATTCAACACCTTCTTGCCCTTTGTATGCCAATCCCCAAAGTATCGGCCTGCCAACCCAGACGAAGTCCGCACCCAGCGCGAGTGCTTTGAATACATCCGTACCGTGTCTGATTCCTCCGTCAACGTGTACAGGGATTTTCTTCCCGGTTTGTGAATGTACAGCAGCAACGACTTCAGGCAACGCATCGATGGTAGCCAATGCGCCATTAAGTTGTCGCCCACCGTGATTCGACACCACGATACCGTCGACGCCGTGGTGGCAGGCTAGTAGTGCGTCTTCGCCCGTCGCAACGCCTTTCACCCAGACTTCCATCTCGGGGTAACATTGTTCTTTCAGCCAGGCTATGTCGCGTTCCCAGCAGAGTGTTGGGTTGGGTGCGTGGCTGTGGAAGCTTATTGGACCCTTTGGCGGCTGTCTCTTGTTGCTGTCGGTGGCACTGGGTGTCTCGCTCCTCTTGCGCGACTCGTTCGCTTCCGTGGATGTTGAGGCGATTTTCTCCTCGACCTTGACACCCTCGTCGTGTTTCTCATCGCGGTTGAAGTTTGCTACTTTGAGGTGTTTCGGCAGCTTGAACTGGTTCCTTATCTCTAAGTTCCGGCGTCCGAGAACCGGGGTGTCAACCGTGAGCATGACAGCTTTGTAGCCGGCTTTCTTGGCGCGTTGGATGAGCTTCTGGCTTTGGGTGCGCTCTTCGAAGAGGTAGAGTTGTAGGGCTCCGGGATGGTTGCCCAATGCGCCTTTCACGTCTTCAAGGCTGGTTGTGCTGAAGCTGCTCAGGCCCATTACGATATCCTTGTTGGCGCATGCGCGTGCGGTCGCCAGTTCACCGTCGTCGTGTGCGAGACATTGCATAGCGGTTGGTGCGACACCGAGGGGTATGCTGTTCTTGTGTCCGAAAACGTTTACGGTCGTATCGATGGAGGAGATGTCGCGAAGCACGCGTGGCCGAATGCGATACTTTTGGTATGCGTCAATGTTCTCGCGGAGCGTCGATCCAGAGTCTGCACCCTCATTGTAGTAATCGCGTGTCTGCTTGTCCATGCGCTCTGCGGCAAGCTTCTCGAGTTCGCCGATGGTGAGGCAATTCAGGTCGTGGGGGGTCTTCGTGTCCGACATTTTGATCGGTGTTGTAGGGTGAGGTAATGCGACGGGTCGTGATGCGATGCGAGTGTATATGGGTATCTAGAGAGGTCAACAAAATCGTCGGATATTGAAGGAGACCAGGGATCAGCCATCTTGTTCATTGCTTCGGCAAACCTATCTCTAATTCGGCTATAAGGTTGATGATGACGGCGACGATGTAGCGTGGGAGCTATGGCTTGCCGATCTCGGGTCGACGCGTCAAGTTCCCGTTCGTGCGAACGTGGGATGAGCTAACGTGCCAGCCCTCTTACTTTCCACGCTCGCAACGATCGGGCCGCATCGCGACACGATATAAGACCCCCGGGGCACCGGTATATGCAGAGTACGTAAGTTGAAGATGATTGAATCGATTGACAAATCTATTGAATGAGAGTACGAACTGAAGTCTATGTAAAAGCAAAAAGAGCATGCGACAAGAGCAAGACGACAGGGAGCACCAAGGGAGGGAAATACAAGATGCAACGCGCGGAAACATATGAAAGAGCCATGAGAGCAACAGAAACCCAGAAAGACCAACGCAAACAGCTACAAAAGAAATCAAGCAAAGACCAGAAAGAAACCTTAGCCATCGAGAACCCACGGTCCGATAGCCTCTCGCCGCGCGATCCGGATATTCCATTACATCCAAAACATGCCCTGATCAAGGTTTGGGTGCCATGGGCTCAGCCTGAGCGGCTTACTGTCGTCATTTGGGTCGTCGTGGTAATGCTCGCCCCAGACAGTCTTGTCGCGCGCAAGCTTGAGAGCAAAGCCATGCTTCAGGTTCATCAACTGCTCTTTGGTAAGCTTGGCCTTTTTGCCGTTGGCCTGCTGAGGAAGCTCAAACAGCTCGCCTTGGTCATGGTTGCTCGCCCAGATCCGTAGATAAGCCCGACCTCGTTCGCATAATCTGTCTGCCATGTATGCTGGGGCCACGTAGGAGACGGAATGCGTGGCGCGACTGAAAGCGCTACAGAGTTGCATCGTCAAGTCGGGGAGAGACGCCGATCCAAGGTTCATGTCGTCCTGGAGAACGTGGTAGTGAGCTGAACGCGCGGTACCCTTGATGGCACAGTGAGATTGCAGGAAGAAGTTGTAGTTGCCAGGGTTGGTGACCACGTCGTCGACCAGTAGACCGGGCATGAGGTTACCGTTGATGACGCCATACTCCTTCTCGCCCCCACCGAGATTGACGGTGCACTTGCGCGTCTGAGATTCTTTTGTCGCGTAGAATCGGGTATGATGACGTTTACCAACGATCACGAAAGTAAGGCTTAGCTTTGTAGCGTCGCCGCCGGCCTGTTCATAACCTTCTAAGATTGCGGGAATCTCTTCGTCCTTGCACATGTTGAACTGGGACTCTGACACACCATCTCTGTAAAAGAGCATGGAGGTCGGCATCTCCTTGTTTTCGATGTTGTCGGTATATGCGAGGACGCGTTCCTTGACCATGGACACTAGGTGTTCTTTGGCTATTTGCTGTTTCTGCAGTGAGCTAATGCATTGTTATATGTAGACTGTGGTGACTTACCTCCTGCCCGCCAGCCTGAAGCCTCATTGAACCAGGGTAGTTCATGAATTGCCTGTCCACGCTGCCGACCACACAGGCAATGCTGGGACTGCCTGACTTAGTGCCAGCACCGGAGTGGGTAACATCAGCTCCTAGGATCATCGTCCTCTTGCGTAGCTCGGATCCCAGGAGTGTGTTGAGCACGGCTTCGTCCAAATGGTGATTGTCTCCAGCTCCTTTCATGTTGACTTTCAGGGCGAGATTGGATCGGGTCTGGGCATTATCTAGCTTGGGGCCCAAAGCGCAAATAGTGTGCTTGCCACTTTCGAGGTCGGCTTGCCGCCGAACCTGCGAGTAAATAAGGAGATCTTTCTGTGCCAAGAGCACAAGGGTACAGTCGTTGGCATCCACATGATTGTCGGAGTACCATGTCGCGAGTTTATCATTGAGCTGTGCACCGTCCTGCAGGGCGCACTCTCCAGCTGTCAAAGGCATGTTGTGTGACTGAAGTGTTGCGACCATGTTATTTCGAACAAATTGCGCATCGTGAAGGGACCGTCTGCTATCTTTGAGTGCAAGCACATGCAGTTTTCCGATGTTGCTCGGCTTGGCAAAGGTGACGTGCTCAAGATTCCACGATGACAGTTCGCGGTTGCGCGTAGTGAGCTCGCGTAATTGCGCCGCTTGAAGTTCTGAAGCGACTGCTTGACTTTTCTCCGGCCCGTAGTAGAGTCGTGGAAGGTCCAGTATTCTGCCTGGGATTGTGATCAAATCTGTGCTCACCTCGAAGCCTAGCTTGGTCTAATGAATGTTAGTTTCGCCCGGAGAATGGAACCGCAGATAACTTACAAGTGGGCTTTGCGCTGCCTGGTTCCTGATGCCTAGTCGTACCAAACCTTCTTTCTCGATGAACGTAGCGTTGGCGTTGGGCAATCGCAATGCGACATCGAGCATAGACGACGTGTGCATGCCGCCCAGCGTCGCCTTTGTTGTCTGGTTGGGGACGATCTCCAGGAGACATGCTGGTATTCATTGGGCTCCTTTGAGACTCTGTTCCTTCATCAAAGCCTCGTGAGTTTCGCCACGACGCGGAACAGTTCTCACTCGGGTACCGACATTGACGCATAGCGACTCATCCCACGAGTAACCTATGGTCAGCTTACTCTTGAAGGCTATGCTCTCGAGTCAGTATGTCTCACAGAATTATATGGAAACTACCCACTATTTTTGAAGTAGCTACGCACAGTTGTGCCATGCTTGTCGCTAAGGTCAAGCTGTCGAGGCTGACCCTTCGTAGGCTTCAACAGCTTGTAGAACTTCTGAATGTCGACCGAATCTCCAAACTGGATGAATGTCTTCGTGCGGCTTTCGTGGGAGTTGTAGTCTACATTGCTGTTCGTGTAGTTCTGTCGATGATACAGAACTCTCACCAAAGAGCCACTGAGCAACTTTTCGATGTAGTTCTTGCCCCCAGCTGTTTTGATTGGCAGTACATTACTCTGTCGCAGTAGGTTAGATACGTTCCCCGGGGGTAGGAAGGCAGATGTAGCAGTGTTGACGTTGAGAAGTGTAGAGGTTCGGCCAGGCCTGATCGACGTGAAGTACCCGCGAACAGCTCGCAGCCCCTTGATATCGGTCCAGGCGCCGTTGAGGTAGAACTTGTTGGCTCCGATCTGAGTGAGATGTATCTGATCAGCTTCAGCGGTCTCGTGTACTGATTTGGCAACAATGGCGTTGAGCGCACGAATGTAATCCGATAGGTTGGCCAGATCCTGAGTTGTAAGTTTGCCTGGAATGTCGTCTAATACGAGAGAGAAGGACACTGTTGCCCGGAAGTCATCTGCCTCTTTGCCATCAATCTGTCGATAACGGAACTTGTCGGTTGAGAAAGTGATGCCAGGCACCGCCGGGCATGCTGGTAGAGCTACAGTACACCAAAGGTCCTTGGAATCGGACGCCCATGTGACATCGGCGCCGAAATCGAGGACTCCGGCTTTGATCATAGCTTGAAAGGCACCGTGAATTTCCCGACGCTTGGTGTAATAGGTTTTACCGCCCTGGATTCCGGAATCTGGCCGCCAGAAGTCCAGTGTATAGACATATAGCTTTTGAGGAATTCTGGTGACACGGACATAGTTGCTCGTAACGTGGACGGAGTTTGGAGTGTCAGTCTCATCGATCACGTCCTTCGGTATACAGATTCCTCCCCGGGGTGGGTCCACTTCCTGGATAGCTTCATCCTTCGCTGGTGTAAGTGGTATCATCGTGCCAAAATCCTTGCTCACGATTATCTTGCGGCCAGCCCCTGGAGCTTTCGGCTTTGCTGCTTCGGATATCTTTAGTTCTTCTTTTGTGGCTGCCCATACTTGTTCAGCTTCTGCACGGAGCTCATCGGGTGTACCGGTTCCCTTTTCGTCCAAGCGGCAGATGGCCATGTTGTAGCAGTCGTTCGGATCAGCTTTACAGGCATTCGTTTTGTGAAACTTACCGCATCTCCGACATGGCTCTTTGCCCGAAGTGATTGCGGCTTTGTATTCGGCTTTGTACCCATCTGACAGAGGCATGACTGTCGCAGTGTAGGTGTGACGGATGTGTGATCTCGACCAGTGTGTAGCGGGTTGCAGAAGTGAACACTGTGTCTTGGATGTACGGGCTTTCGGAGTAAGCCTGTCCTCATATACAGAAATTTCGCTTTCATGTTTACGTCAAGCAAACCGTTCAATGCTTGCGTTGTCGTCTGTTTCTCCCCAGCAAGCACTTCCATGATATACAATCAATATCGAGCTGATGAGTCTAGACTGCATTGCGATGAAAGGCAAAGGCAAAGCTCGATAGTTCCCACTATTAATCCAAGATCAGCATGAACAGTCTACTTCGTCCTGTGCTTAACTAAGGCAATTGGTCAACAAAGTAAAACCTGCCATCAAGCGGTGCACTTTCCATGCCATCACAAGTGACGATGGTCGACTCTGTTGTAGTTTTGGTTGCAACAATCGATGTTGAACTATCCTGCGTTCCGACAACTAGGTGGGATTCGTTGCTTGATGACCAAAAGAGTTGGTTGTCATACTGAAGCAGCAGTCTTTCATTAGAGCTACCACGCTCGAACTCGACTCTGTGGACCATGGGCGACGGATCTTAGAGTTCGGATAACACATCAGAAGCTGACCGCATGTTGCATGCTCAAGTTTCCAGACGAGTTGACCGGAGATCTCGAAATGCCCGAGTGCCATCCAAGCTCGTGCACATCGGCGGTGGAAGTGTAACAGGAAAGCTCATTACCCAGTGGGTCAGTAGTCGCATTCAGAGAGTGGCCGAATGCTCGTCCGTTCGAACTTCGTTGGAGGCATTGTAAAGGGCGCAACGCCAGCGGTCAGGGTATGCAGGGCACGATTAGATGAGCCTTCCCAAGGACCAAACCGCGCGGAACTCTGCGACTTTTGTCAGCACACTCGTATATCTGAACCAAGGCAATAGCCCAAGAAAAGGGCGCATATCGAACGTAGTGGCCCTGCGTCGCGTGTAGTCTCACCGCAGTCGCGCATCTCGCGTGTCGATGCCTCGCGGCCGACGGCGCGAAAGTGGGTCCGGTCAATCGCGTCATGATCTGATTGGTCAATCACGGGACTCCACCAGATTGCAACCCACCCGCTTTGTAATCCAGGCCGTAATCACCGCCAGTCGTGTAACCATCTGAGTAGGATCGGGTCCGCTTTGGGATGAACGGTGGAGTGCTGATGCCAAGTGGAGCGTAGTGAGCTTGATGCTCAGTGTACTGAGAGAAGATGCGAGATAGACAGAAGTGGAACATAAATAGTCGACTACCCCGCCAGGGCATCTACTAGCATCAACCAACTTCATCAACAAGAGACTGAAACTGCCGTTATCCTCACCCTTTCAACACTTCCTTCAATTCTCAAACCACCACCCAACATGGCTCTCTCATTCCACAAGGTCGCCATCGCTCCCGTCATCACGGGCCTCAAGAACGCACACTTCTTCATCAACAAAGGCTACGAGCACGCCAAAGCCACCGACCCCAATGACTTCCTCACCGCATCTATCCATCCAGACATGAAGGACTTCCGCTACCAAGTCTACCGTTTTACCGATGCCGCCAAGTTCATTCCTTCTCGCGTGAACCCTGCCTTGGAAGGCATGACGCTGCCCGACGAGGAGCAGACCTTCCCTGAGTTACTAGCTCGCGTCGAGAAGACTATCAAGTATCTTGAGGGCTTCTCGGAGAAGGACTTCGAGGGTAAGCATGATGACGAGGTTGTCGTCAAGTTTGGCGGTGTCAAGCAGATGAGGCTGCCGGCGCTGGACTATGTCACAAAGTTTGCGCATCCGAACATGTGGTAAGTGAAGATTCGCTTGAGGGTTCAGGCTCGTAATGATGTTTTGCTGATGATTTTAGGTTCCACATCGTGACTGCGTATGACATACTGAGGATGAAGGGCGTTGATGTTGGAAAGATGGACTTCTTGAACGGTACAGGCGCCATCACGATCGAGGACATTTCGCAGTAGTGGAGCTGGACTCAGATATCTGACCATGTGCTGAAAGCGATGGTCGGTCGGCGCAAAAACATAGCAACGCGCGAGCAATGGAGATGAATTGTATAAGTGGCTTTCTTCCATTATGTTCGTCACCCTGGATCTTCAGTCGACGACTAAATCAGCGACAAGTGCATCCATCGCCGAGCTATGCGTGCTTGCATTCGCCGGAGTGACCCAAGGCCCTGCCCAGTTAACACTGAACACAGGTAAGCCTTCAACTGTCACCGCTCTATCTAGTTGCCAGATAGACCCCGCATTGACGCGAATAGCGTTTGCAAACACTTTTTGCGGTGCCACAGCGTGAAGTTTGACCAGATTACGCATGAAGATGCCCTTGAATTGGGCGCCATCGGCACCACAGCTCGGCTCGCATTCGTCGTGTAGAACGCCATTTTCGTCCGAAAGCGCGACAAGTGCCGCATTCGCGATTTCCGATGCGAGAACGAGGTATGCGGAGTGGGGTGAGCTTGAAGCTTGGTAAAGTTCGACAAAACCTCCCAAGATTACACCCTGGTTGTATGACCAAACAGTCTTCTTGTTGTTGGCACAATCCTCCGTCAGTCCATCGTTGATTGTACCATGCTCGTTGATCATACCACTTCCAACGAACCAATTCAGACTTTTCTCCGCCCAATACAAGTACAGAGTCTTCTTTTTATCGTCGTGGACGCGGTTGGCCAGATGCGCAGCTGTACTGAAGAAGAGCTCATTAGCGATCGCATTTACGTAGTCCCTTTCCCAATTCCAGTAGATACCGCCATAAGAGCAGTAAGTACCCCAGGTGCGCGATACAGCGAGGAATATGCCTTCCGCGAGGGTGAGATAAGCGGTATCCGCGGTGACGTCGTATGCATTGATCCAGGCTAACGCCCACCATAGATCATCGTCGTAGTAGCCGTCCAGCCAGTCATGAGGATCTGGCCTGGTGGGATAGGACCCCCCATTATCGTACCAGCCAAGCGGATAGAATGTGTGAGGCTCGTTGGTATCCGGATCGAGTATCTTCGTGTACCCAGTCTGATGGCAAGTCGTGTTGCCGACAGTTGGCGTTGTGCTATAAGCACATAGCTCATTAATACTCGCGTCTGGATTTTTGATCGGCGCCTTTAGCAACGCAGTCGCAAAGACATTGCTTGCCAGGTCCTGCAATTCTTCGTCTTCAGTATCTGATTTCGCGTAGTCGCCAATCATTGTCATGATATTCGCACCATTCCACCACCCAGTCGACTCCCATAGGCCGGTAGTTGTGTTATACCACAATTGTAGAGCTTCAAGCGCGAGTTCTGTGCGCCCCTTGGGATCGAATACGTCGTTGCTGTTGCTTTGCGCAGATGCTTTAGTAATGAACATGAGGCTGGGAAGGAGCAGATGGAGGAAGGGTGTGGAAAGCATGGCGAATGCGGACTTTAGAAGCCGTACACCTCGAGGCTACGCGAAAGCGATGATACAAAACAATATTCCAGACGATGTTCAGGCTATGAACAACGTTTGAATAGTAAGCCAAGATGGGCGGGGCTTGCAAGTACCCTCCGTCGAAGTCCGAGAATGGCAACACCCGCATGCGCTAATGTACTTGCAAGAGCGAGCATACACAGGGTAAGCCGCGAAAGGCGGAGGCTGCGCCTATTCTCAAAAAGAAGATCCATGTGGTCTTACCTCTGAGCGAGCAATGGTACCTGCTTTCCATCAAGCTGGTGCGCATCCAGAGGTGCTGATAACTGATTGGCGAAAGAGAAGCGGGTCGAATGTACCATACAGAGCGCATATACGACCCATCCGAGTTGATTTCCTATGGCACGCCATGTGCGCATGATGGAGTTTCGCACGAGAGCAGTACTTTGAAGGTCTTGGCGTCGGAGCAGCTCGAAGCACAAAATTGGGCTTTGAAGTAACGCGAATATGCGACCCAGAACTCGAAAAAGGTGGTAAGACAACCTGGGCGATGCGCATTGCATGTTTCGAGAAGCCAAATGCTTGTATAACACGGTGCACGCAGCTTGAGGTACCCGTGACGGATACCCCGCTACCGACCACCCGGGGATCGACCAGACTAGACTAGGTGGTGCCTGCCATCGCACCCATCGATCTTGACTAGGAATGGTCTGTGGAATCGGAGCAGTAGATTACTTTTTCGCAATGGAGGTCCGACCGATGCGTGGGATGTGAGTGTCACGGAAGGTACACCCAAGGAGCTGGGTCTGCAATGTAGTGTAACTACCACCCAGGTAACGTTCCGCCTGCATGCTGGTAATCCGTTGCGGGCACATAGATCCCCGTTCGGACGTTCAATTTTGTTGTTTCGCACCTTCATACTCTGTCTTTGGCCGCTGCACGTACTCAAGCGATCAAGATGTCGTTGCCCAGATCTTTAACCTCTTCCACCCAACAGTTGCCGGCACCAGGTCCAGCTGAGTCCTTGAAACGCCAAATAGCCTCCAACACGCGCTTGGACGTGTGAAGATAGCCCCAGAACATCTGCCCATAGAGTTCATCTAGTGTGTTCATGATCCACTCGCGCTGACTAGGGTCCTCCGACTCGGCACCAGCAAGGAACAATGGCCAACAGATAGATTTGAAGAGTGCATCTCCAGGCTCGAGATGCGAAATGTGGTTGACGACGTCGTCGGCGAGAGCGGTGAGGCTGACGAGGGCTGTGCCACTCGCGGGATCGAGAAGAGGATTGGTGGAAGGTAGTACACGAGCGAGATAGATGCAGACCGCCGATCGATGCGCGGAGGCTATTCGAATCCGTTTCTGTATGTCGTCGAAAGGCGATGCACGCTCAAACTCAAAAGACCATGCGATGGGATCGAAGTCGAGCGCGCGTTGCAGGAGTACACCCACCTGCTCTTGGAGATATATGGGCGTCGTGGTCTCAGAGGGCGACCCATGACTATCGGGCAATGCGAAGGATTCGAGCATTACACGCAACAACGGCCCAGGGCAAGAAAGGTAGTTGTTCGTCTCCGCGTACCGAAGAATAGGGTCCAACTCGATGGTCTCGGGAATCAATGCGGGAAGCGTCGTGAAGCTGAAAGTCGATCCGAGGATATGGAATACAAGAAAGTCTGAAAGAATCGTCTGGCGGAGCCTACTCATCGGCCGTTGTATATACTCGGGCTCACCCAGAAGTTTGATGAGCTTCAGCGCACCGTCCATGTGCACTTTCCACTTATCTCTGCCTGACTCTACCAGAGCATAGTTGACAAACAGCAGGATAGTGATCAATATGAGGTCAATGTTTGTGGTGTTCACACAAGCCACGCTCTTTGCAAGTAAGGAGAGCGCTTGCTGCTTCGCCACGAGTGCGTCTCTGTAGGACGACTTCAACGGACCTCCAAATCGGTTCACAGCTTGGTAATAAGCCATCACGGTCGGGCTCCGCTCGCCTTGGTAAGCTGACTGGCCCATGGGGTTGCGCGTAATGTTGAAGACGTGAAACGCCGAGTTTGCGACAATGATCTGCAAGAGCAGCGGGTAGGCAGAGGTCGCGGGGATGAGGTCGCGAATGGGATTCTGTCCAGGCTCATCGTACACAACCATGACCTCGCACAGCTGTGTTGCGAAGTGGTAGAGGTAGTATCGAGAGTTGCGATCGAGATCATTAACCAAAGGGTCTGTCATCTGTCGGTGCACGCCAGCAGTCATGGCCATGGTCTGATCTTGTTCCTGCGCGGACATGCGGGCAAATTCCGGTACCGATCCTGCGGGCACGATTTCATATTCGGTCTCCGGTACTTGGTGTTGTTGCGATGAGCCCTCGTGCTCCCACACCAACCTCGGCGGTACGTCGTGAGTCTTGGCTGCCCCTTCCGTCGCAGCTGCAGCACCACCAGCATCGTGCTCCATCTTCTCCTCATACCCCTTCCCCATCATCTTGCCCCGGCTCGCAACCCCGCGATTCCACACAAACAACTTGCCATAACCCAGACATTCCGTTCCGGCTGACAAACATTTCTGGCAGCTTGGCAGCGACCGGTCGCACCTCCATCGTCGCTTCCGGCAATTGTGGCACGCTTTGGTCGGAAGATTGAAGGGCGTCACGCTCATTGGATGGTCGCCATGCGAGATGTGTAGACGGTTGACTGTATTGAGGTGCGTGAGGTTTGGTGGGGTGGAGATCTTTCGCGTTGCTTGTGGCGGTCGAAGGGTCGGGTTCACTGGGTTACTAACGCCCTCAAGACTGATGTGGATGCAGGATTTCGTCACACCTGTCGGACTGCAGCTACAGAAACCGATGTTGACCGAGTGCGCAACCCGAGGATGAAGCAAGCAAATCGCATGTCTCCGGGGGCTGACAAAGACGGGTTTAGGAGGGGAATTGCGCGCATGGTTCGCTTGACTTGCCGTTCGCCCCAGACCTCGATAGATCCGTCTAGGCTCGATGTAGCAGCCAAGACTCAATCTTTGCATCGACGGTCCACATCGTGACGGCTTTATGCTCAGACGTCACAGTCACCGCTAGGATTCGCCTTTGGCTGTATGCTCTGAGGCTCAGCACCCGAGTAAATGTCTTCCATTACACATAGCAACAATGTCCGCGGTCATTTCGGAGTCCGAACACAACATATAGAAAGAATGAGACTGTGATGGAATTGGGTCGTCTTCAAAGGTTTTGCCATATCGACTCACAGGACAAAACATCTAGATGGCTTTATCATAACTTTCACTACGCCTAATACCAGCCAGCCCATCACGGGAACACTACCATGTCCAACGACCCGATGGAGACTACCGCACATACCCCAAGCGACGCGATACCATCCAACAATTCAGCCCCCATATTAGAGAAGGCCGAAGAAGGAAGCCCACCTCAACATGGCGGCTCATACAGCCCATCCGACATCGAGCGACTCGGCCGCGAACGCCCCTCAGCCTTCCGCTCTCTCCCTCATGAACTGGGTTTCTGCTTCGCCCTGCTAGGCTCCATGTTTGTAGCCGAGTACATGATCTCCGGCTTCAACATCCTGCTCCCCGACCTGACCTCCGCTCTCGATATCCCATCCAACGCGCAAACATGGCCAGCCTCCGTCTTCTCGCTTGTAACAGGAGCTTTCCTACTGCCTTTCGGCCGGCTGTCTGATATGTTTGGAGGATACATTGTCTTCAACATCGGGTTGGCTTGGTTCTTGATCTGGTCGATTATAGCTGGTTTCTCACAAAACTATGTCATGCTTATCGTATGTCGAGCGCTCCAGGGTTTCGGTCCTGCGGCATTCTTGCCTAGCGGTATCATGCTGCTGGGTTCTATCTACCGCCCTGGGCCGCGCAAGAACCTCGTCTTCAGCTTATACGGTGCTTTTGCACCGGTGGGCTTCTTCACTGGTATCTTCTTCGCTGGTGTCGCCGCTCAGTTCATGAGTTGGGGCTGGTTCTTCTGGATAGGATCGATCATCCTTGCTATTGTGGCCGTTGCGTCGTACCTTTGCATTCCCAACCCGAAAGCAGAGAAAGAGAAGGCGAAACAGGAAGGAAAAGGAGTGAAGATGGATTGGTGGGGCACGGCAACTGTAGTCCCAGGCTTGGTTCTGGTCGTCTTTGCGCTCACGGATGGAAGCCATGCACCACAAGGATGGGCGACACCTTATATACCCGTCACCTTCGCAATCGGTTGGATCTTCCTGGGTTTATTCGTTTACATCGAAGGCTGGGTCGCTGAACAGCCTCTCCTACCCCCTGATCTATTCCGTGTCAAGGGTATGAAGCCACTCGCCCTTGCGCTGTTCTTCCAGTACGGCACCTTCGGCATCTTCATCTTCTATGCGAGCTTCTATATCGAAGAGGTCGCCGGCGCCAGTCCGCTGCTTACCGCCGCATGGTTTACACCCATGTGTGTTGGCGGACTGATTTTAGCGACCGTTGGCGGGTTAATTCTGCACCTCCTCCCAGGCCGCATCCTCCTCCTTATCAGCGGTACCGCGTACATTCTATCGACGCTTCTATTCGCCATTCTCCCTGTTGACTTCAACTACTGGGCCTACATCTTCCCCGCTATGATCTGCGCTACACTCGGTATCGACATCACTTACAATGTCGCCAACATCTTCATCACAACCTCGCTACCAAAAGCGCGTCAAGGGCTAGCGGGATCTTTCATGAACTCATTGTTGTTCTTGGGTATCGCAGTTTTCCTTTCGTTTGCAGATCTAGCGGTCAGCGAAACGGAGGAGAGGGGACGAAGGGGGAGTTACAAGGTGGCTTTCTGGCTTGCGACTGCGCTTGCTGGCGCGGGCTTGATCATCATGTTCTTGGGCGTTAAAATCGGCAAAGCGAAGAGTGATTTGACTCTTGATGAGAGGGAAGAGCTGGAGAACGAGTTGGTGAGAAGGAACACGAATGAGTAAAGTGATCTTGTAGAGTTTCATTGCCACTACTTCAGCGCTGGAAACTACAGTCCATATCGTCGCGCAAATCCTGAAACCCATGGCCACGATACCCATCAATGACTTATATCCTCTTCACCTGGTGCCACAGCCTTATACGCCTTACGATAGATCGACGACGCCATCACACGCGGCAGTCCTTCGCTCATGGCAGTATCGTCACGTACAAGGCGGTTTCGCACTTCATGCACGTTCCCGCCACTCGGTATACCGCGCTTTCGGCAAAGCGCTGCTGCTCTGTAGTAATCGAGGTCGGTGTAGTCTGAGTTACCGTGTAGAGGCTGTAGTGGTACAGCGGTGCGAGCTTGCATTGAGCGCTGGGTCGACAATCGTGAAGGGGATATGGAGATCAAGATCGCTCGGTTGGGTGCAATCCCAGAATGCAGATCGGGCTCTTCTCGGCTTGGGTGTTCGCGCGTGGGGCTGCTGAAGGGTGTCGCTGTAGATGGGGCCTCGGAGGGTAAGAGATCCGGAGTGTGGTGGAATTGCGCTATTCGTTGCTTGAACGATGGTGGGGTTGCAGTTGGCAGGGTTTCTCTAATAGGTGAATTCGCGAAGTGCTTCGAAGCGTTGGCTACAAATGCTTGTGTGTCTCTGTTCGGGTGATGGTCGGTACGGCGCCCGTGTCCTGTGATTGTGGGAGATGCAGAACTGTCGGATGAACTGTGATCTATCTCGCTGGTATCGCCGATGTGTTCACCTCGCGTAGCGGCTCCTGGCATCCCATGTTGTCGGTGGGTACCTTGAGTGCGCGGCAGTAAGTCCCTGCCGTTATCATCGACCTGATATCCAGTTGGGTGACCCCAGAGATCGATGCGTCCCGCCCAGTAGTCTTCCAAAACCCTATTTTGTGCCTCGTCTCTGCTTCTCCGGTGTTTCATAGCAGTCTGCATAGCTGGTATCTCGTCGGCGTCCTCGCCCGTGTAGTCTGGATGAGCTGCGAGGTAGTCTGTTGTATACCTGACGCTGTGAACGTCGGATTTGGGGTTGACTTTCGACAGCTCCGCGACCATGTGCTCGTCGATCGCGCCAGCGTTCCATAGGTGGTGGGCATGTGCGGATAGCATGGCTTTCTCAGTCGCTGCGTGGCTGTCACCATAGACAGAGCGACTTCGCTCGACCGGCGTGTCTGATGCGGCTTCCGGTGTCGGTTTGAGCTTCTTCTTAGGCGCCATTGTACTAGGGCGAGATAAAGGGAAGGCTGATCCCGATCCGAGTGTGCGTGTGGCCTGGCTTGCTGTGTCCGTAACGATGGATGGGCGGTAAGCGACGTGAGTTCGGGAGACAAACAAGAATGCTGCATGTAGAAAGGTAGCAATAAAATGACGTAGCGGGACAAGACTTGTGCAGAAGTGAAAGGGTCGCGTCCACGAAGTTCCAAAGTTGTTGGTGCAACATGTTAGACGCAATGACAATGGAGAAATTCTGTCCACACTGAATAACGACATGTTTTTTTGTATTCAGAATGCTCGGCCAAGCCTCACTGATGCCGAAATCGACGTTCAATAGTGGGAGTGGTGGATAGTGCAATATGCGCTGCTGGTGTGTAGTGTTCATGGCCTCAACATTTGAATTTAGGCCCCAAGGATCGCCGAACATGTCACAGGGTTAGTAAGTATGCGTACAAACTCCAAGCGGCCATAGCTACGAAGAGGTGAGTGTCCACTGAGTGTGACAATGATGCTGATTAGACATGGCTATCGAACGGAAGACAGGCCGACTTTCGTCGACTCGACTGACGCTTGCCTTATTAAGACTAAATCGAACGCGTCGCGTGCGCCAACCCGGGCCTCCACCAATTGCCACAGGCCTCGCATTTCATTTTGGCTGTTCTGGCCTCGCTGAGCGATAGGATGCTTAAATCAGTCCAGAAAATTGCCTCCAGTCTTGGCAAGTACTTCGTCGTAGTAGCTCTGGAATGCCAGCCATCCCTTCTCAGGCGTCCCAACCTGCTTATATGTCTCGGCAGCCTCGCTGTCCGGTATGATCTTGGGCTTGTGTCCACTTCCAGCGGCCGCTGCATCTACAAGGAGTTGTGCTTGACACGTCTTGTCGAGGGAGAGGAACCAGAAGGCTGCTTCGTCGACGGACTTGCCCACGGTGAGGATGCCGTGGTTTTGGAGGATAGCTGCTTTGCCGTCACCTGTGCAAGTGATCAGTAGCGTAAAGCACGAATGTAGACAGGGTCATACCTAAGGCATCGGCAATCCTCTCGCCCTCTTCGCTGGCCAGCACGACTCCGCCAAACTGGTTGTATACGCCGTGGCTCTTGTAAAAGCGGATGCTGTCCTGGGTGATCATGTCCAGTTCCCTACCAAAGGCGCTAAAGGCCTTGCCATATACGCTATGCGCATGACAGGCTGCATGTACGTCTGGCCGTCGCCTGTGTATGGCGCTGTGAATGGCAAAAGCCGCCGCATTGATGGGCTGGTCGCCGTGCACCACCTCGCCTTCCTCGTTCACCAGTATCAGATCCGACACGCGTATCAGGGAGAAATGCGCCGACAATGGGTTGAGCCAGAAATGGTCGGTGAGTATTGGGTCGCGCACGCTGATATGGCCGGCGACACCTTCGTCGAACCCGCGCGAGGCAAAGATGCGATAGGCAGCCGCGAGATGCTGTTTACGGTAGAGGCGTTCGTCTTCGGGGCGTTCAAAGGCTGGGTATTTGCGGACTTTGAGGGCCTTGCCCGACTTGGTCCGGCCCATAGCTGCTACCGTCTGGTTGTCATTGCTTTCGGCGTGATCGACCCGCGTGCCTGCCGCAACGGACGCGTGCAGGTCCTTGGACGATGTTGTGAGCGCCCGAGTAATACGTCGTGGGTAGAGCCATTGGGGGCGCCGTGTGAATGGCCCTGCGACCCGCACAAGTGACGAAGGAAGAAGGCGAGCTGTAGACATGGTCAGTGCGGTAGGTTAGCAATCTATGGCAGTAGAAGAGTAACGACTTCCCCGCCGGGTATGACATGTCGGATAGGTCGCTGCGTATCAAATCCCTGGGAGTCACTGGACGCGATTGGTGAGCTTCGCAAGAGAGGAGAAGATGGGCATCGGAGGTTAGGCCGAGGCTTAATGGGAGATGACATAAGCGGAACTCGCTGACTCTCCAACACCAGAGCAGTGTCGACTCTCGATCATCTCGATAGACTGACATTGCTGAAGCTGCCTTACAGCTATCTATGCGTTTATTTTCTGCAAACAATACGTATTCTTCCGGATGGCACTGGAGAAGAACATGGACGCGACAAAGTGCAAAGCGCCCGTCCATCGGAATGCCACCAAATGACATACAGGATGACCGCGGAGACAACTGTTGTTTCTGTCACAAACCTGTTGTCGCCCATCTATAATGTCTCACTGACTGGGGTCATATGAAGTCTAGGTCTGTCAAGCTGTTATGAGATGAGCGTAGTAAACTCTTCTGCGCCTGCCCTTTCACTCCCAGTCGCGGCGGCGCCTATCGCACAACAACACGCTACTGCTCTACTCCTTCCCTTCTCACCCGCTCACTCACCGCACAAACTCCGTCGCCTCCAGGCAGCTGGGCCCACTTCCATGTCAGACTGGCGCCTGCGCACTATATCATTTCGCCTGCCCCTGCCCTCATCAACGCCCTGCCACGCTTCCACCTCCAACAGCAACCCGAGAATCAGCGCAATCAACCAACGTCAAAATGAAGTGCGCCTTCTCCCTTCTCTGGGCCTTCCTCGCGCTTCTCGCGCTTTCTATCGCAGCCCCGGACGCCATCGACGCTCAAGAAGTGTCGACTCTTCCTACTTCTTCCGTGCAAACAATTCCCCAAGAATCATCGATTCTTGGTACTTCTCCCGCCTCAGCTAGTCCCCAGATATCATCAGAAGATATCCCCTCCGAAGACGATTTGCTCGCCGAGCTCCACGGCTTCACTAGCGCAAACACAACGTTGTCGACTGCCAGCTCCGACGTTCACGTTGCCGATGTCGAGGAACAGTGGAAGCATCTCAAAGGCTGGTATCGTGTTGATGTTCGCCTCGGCAAGGGAGCTACCCACGCTGGAACTTTCCAACAGGGACGGATGTATGAACGCATCTACTCAATCCTTAAGAAGTGCAAAAAAGGATCTACCATAGACGACTGCTCTATTCGCAATGCGGTTTTCCGGGATGGAGACAACAATTATCGAACAGACTCGGCGCTCGTTCTCGAGATTGAGCACGAGTACTTCAATCCGGATTTACCAGGTCTCCAGGACTTGGCAGTAAGCGTTGCCGTACTCTAAGTGGTCATGTTCAAGGGCTAACACATGTATAGTACCGTATGATGGCTAGCGTGTACCAGAAGATGACTGAAGTACCACGGAACTGCTTCAGAATCGGCGATTTCAAAGACAACAGCGGTGGTGACAGAGACTTGTTCTTTTGCTCCGTCCCGGCCGAGGCGTTGATAGTATACCCGACCAACGGAGGCCCAGTTCAGATGGTTCTCATGATCAAACTGGAATGGGATCACAAAACTTCCGATTGGACCTACGAATGTGATGGTAAATCGGACAAGGGCGTTGCAGAATACGCGACCCAACCATTCCGCAATGGTTTCAATGAAGAAATCGCCAAGATGCACGGATGGAGAGCAGACCGAGTTACCCCCTTCGTCGACTGTTATTCCCTCGGATGCTTCTACTATGATCCGAAAAACGATGGAAAGACATGGGATGAGCAAAATGTAAAATGTACACCGCGACGGGATCCGATAGGGTGTACTAAGGACGAGGGTGGTCCCAAGCCTGAATACCATTGTCCTCCAAAGTACCCTGGATGATGGAGCATGCTCCACTGAAAGCCACAACATCGTGGAGCTGGCGATCCCACTTCCTGGAATCCGAAAGTGAAGGGGCAGCTTATACTAAGATGTCGAGGTCGAGTCGGGCAGCCAAGGGCAGTGGTAGCAGTACTCTTACTGTATTGTAGTTTCAGATAGCTTATAGCAGTAATGAGAATCTCGTTTGTATCAATATCGTCATGATCAGGATGCCTCGAAGGTGACTTCTACCTTGACGTCATCAGCTCTACGGGGCTGGCAAACATTGAACAAGCAGAACATATGAGATGAGGTTGGGATGCGAATGGTCTGTGACTTTATGCTATCTCATTCAGTGCATGCATTAATCGTTTCGATAGCAAAGCCGTCTTACACCGCCTAGTCACCTCCCGAGACAAGCAAACTCTGCACATCCACCATACCGTGTCCACGATCGTACAATAGTTTACGCCCACGATGGAGTGGAAACTCCGCAACTACCATGACTGCGATACTCTTTACACCAGCCTTTTCCAGTAGACCTAGCACCGCACAAAGAGTCTCGCCCGTCGACAGTACATCGTCCACGACTACGACCGAGTCAGAGCCGATAATCGCGTTTCGCTCTATCTCGATGCGCTTTCCAATCTTTGCTTGGTTAGGAGCTTGGGAAGAGATGTACGATGCGTTTTTCCTAGCCGAGATGGTAGGTGGTGGAAGCTTGCCAGCCTCGCGAATGGGCACCAGAGGCACGTCTACCAGCGATGCTAATGCCGGTGCAAATACGAGACCGCCCACCTCGCAACAGACAATGGCATCGACGTTGGCCCAGCATCCCGTGAAGTGACTTTGTAGTAGTGATGCGCAAAGAGCAAGGCCACCTGGCTGCTGCGAGATTCCGAGTACATGTCGGAACTGGATGCCCGGCTTGGGGAAATTCGGGATTGAACGTACCATATCGGCCAGTCGTTGTAGGTCATTATGCACGAAGGGAAGTATGGAGGCCTCGGCAAACTCTCGTATCGCGCCGTTTCCTGGTGTGTCGTTGACGAAGGTCAGATTTGGACGATGTCGCGGAGCTGTCAAGTCAGTCGTCTTCTCGGTGCGTACCCCACGAGCAACCCGTGAGGCTTCGTTGATATCAACACGGACTTCGATCACTCTGCTCGCCGCCACTAGATGGGAGAATGATGCGACAGGTGCCTCATCTCTCATCCCCGTGATGAACAGAACATCAACATCTGCACTTGCCGCATTGTGGACAACTTCGAGAAAGTGTTCTTCCGGCAGTCGGGGTCGTTCCTGGATTTGTTTCTCGTAGAAGGCTGTCAGCGCTGGACGGTGTTGATCCTTATATGCACGATCGTCTAGAAGGCGGCGGAAATCGTTACCAGTCGCG